CGTGGGTGGGGTGCGTAGGAGATAGAAAATAAAATGTAATGTAAGGAGGGGTTTGTGTAGGATGACATTAGAGATGAAGAAGGGATCGAGCAATGTGGATGTGGAGGCGTTGAAGGCATTGGAGGATAGCATGAGTTTGATAATGAGGGATGGTGAGTATGTAGGGGCGGATGGGTTGACGGTGTATAGATTTAATTACAGGGGGAGGGGTGAGGATGGTTGAGGGTGAATAATTTTTGTGTGCTGTGAAATTTTTGTTAAGGAATATTTTGCAGAGAGGGAGTAGTTTTTGTAATTCGAAGAGGGGGAAATGTAGATATTAAATGTGAGGATAGATGTATGCAGTGTAAACTGTGTATACATAACGTGTGTATTGAATGAGGGGATAGATGTAGGTGTGTATGATAAAAACAAATCATGAAGGTGGAGCATTGTTTTTCTTTTGCAGATATTGTTCGCGTCGTTTGCGATTAATATCGTCTTTATTGAGATGATACCATTTGAGACTAGCTTGATTGTGATATTTACGGAATTGTTCCATTTTTTCAGGAGTGAATTGTTGGATGCGTTCTTTGTTGTATTCATTCAATTGTTGTTTTTGTTCAGGAGACATATTATGATATCTTTGTAGGGCGGTATGATGTTTGGCCTGATAAGTTTTTTGATAAGCCTTTTGATATTGTTTTTGATATTCTCTTTTGGCCTCAGTTTTATGGGTCTGTGCATATTTGCGTTGATAATTGCGGAGGTACTCTTTACGTTGTTGTGCTTTCAGTTCATCGGGTGTCATAGCAGGGTTAACGATATGATCCATTGGGTATATGATAAGATATATGAATATAGCGCTTAAATTTGTTTTTAGGATGATAGACAACTATATAAAGACAATGAGATGTTATATTATATAAAGGTTTAAACGACACTAAAGAATATCAGAAGCAATGAAATTAATAACGGCAAGGTATGGTCCGGTGTGTAAGTCAGGTGAGATATATTTATTAAGGATTTGTATATCCGATGGATGCGAAAAGACACCATGCTTCAACTATAAGGGACGCACCAAAGGCATATGCTGTGAGGATCACAAAGAGGAGGGCATGATAAAAGTTGGAAGCAAGAAGACACAACGTTTAAACCATGAGGGACGTACCAAAGTCATATGCTGTGAGGATCGCAAAGAGGAGGACATGATAAATGTTGAGAGCAAGACCTGTGATCGTGATGGACATACCAAAGTCATATGCTGTGAGGATCGCAAAGAGGAGGACATGATAAATGTTGAGAGCAAGACCTGTGATCGTGATGGACATACCAAAGTCATATGCTGTGAGGATCGCAAAGAGGAGGGAATGAAAAACGTAGGAAACAAGATATGTAATCATGATGGATGCGACAAGATGCCATGCTTCAATCATGAGGGACAAAGCAAAGGCATGTACTGTAAGAAGCACAAAGAGGAGGGCATGATAAATGTGACAATAAAGATGCAGTGTGTATTTGAGGGTTGCAAGAGACAGCCATATTATAACTACGAGGGGGAACCAAGACGCTTATACTGTCGTAAGCACAAAAAGGAGGGTATGATGAATGTGAAACTGAATATAAGGTGTGCATTCAATGGATGCATTAAGATACCATACTGCAACCATGAGGGAGAAACTAAGGGTTTATACTGTGGCAAGCACAAAGAGGAGGGTATGATAAATGTGATAAAGAAGCCATGTTTATTCGATGGATGCAGTAAAACACCAAACTACAATGATGAGGGAGAAACCAAAGGATTGTATTGTTTTGAGCACAAAAAAGAGGGCATGGTAAATGTAAAAACCAAGAGATGTGTGTTCGAGGGTTGTAACAAATGGCCAAGTTATAACTACGAGGGCGAAACCAAATGCTTATACTGTAGTGAGCACAAAAAGGAGGGCATGATAGGTGTGAAAAACAATATATGCAAATATAAGGGTTGTAATAGAATGTCATCGTGCAACTACAAGGGACACACTAAAAGCTTATACTGTGCAAAGCACAAGGAGAAGGGCATGATAAATGTAAAAAACAAGAAATGTAGATTTGATGGATGCAGTAAAATCCCATGCTACAATCGCGAGGGACAAACAAAAGGGTTATACTGTGCAGAGCACAGAGAGGAGGGGATGATAGATATGATAAACAAGAAGACCTGTGTGTTTAATGGATGCAGTAAAACCCCACGTTACAACAATGAGGGTGAAACTACAGGCTTATACTGTGCCGAGCACAAAGAGGATGGCATGATAAATGTGATATATAAGGCCTGCCATTATGATGGATGCAAGAAACACCCGTGTTTCAATGATGAGGGATTTACGAGGGGCTTATACTGTAAAAAACACAAAGAGGAGGGTATGATAAATGTATATCGCAAGATCTGTGTGTTAGAGGGCTGTCTTGCAGACGCAAAGTATGGTTACAAATCAAGGACCCATTGTGAGCGGCATAAAGTAGAGAACATGATAAAGAACCCTACTAAGAGATGTTTAGAATGCAATGAGAGAGCATTATTTGGAGATCCGAATGGGACCATGCAGTTGTATTGTGAGGCTCACCAGAGAGCCGATTCAATAAACTTTATAGAGAGGCCTTGTAAGAGGTGTGGTTTATTGAATATTTTGGACCAAAGTAATCTATGCTATTATTGTGATGAGAACAACAAGAGATATATCAAATCGAAGGAGTTAGCGATAAAGAACTTCCTAGATGCAAATGGGATATCCTACAAATACCATAATTTATCATTGAATAGGATCAATAATGACAACTGTGGGTTGGAGAGGCCAGACTTTGTATTTGAGCATGCGACCCATATTGTGATATTAGAGGTGGATGAGTTTCAACACAAGTCATATCCATGTGAATGTGAGCAAGCAAGAATGGTGAACATAGTGAATTCATTTGGAGGCATGCCAGTGATATGGATAAGATACAATCCAGACAGGTTCATTAAGAACAACAGAGAGGTTGATATAACAGACCATAAAAGACAGAGCATATTGAAGGATTATATTTTGAGATATACGATAGATCCACCAAAAGAGTTGTCAGAAGTGATATATTTGTTTTACGATGAGTGGAATGAAAGAAGAGTGGAGAGGGAGTGTTTGTTGCAGTATGAAAGATAGATCATTGGAGGGAAGTATATATATTAAACAATGCGTTGCATGCTTTGAGGGTTCTTTATAGTTTCTATGCTTTTATTTTTATAACACAGATGAAGATTATTGTGATGGTCTTGATTGGGTGCCATTGAGATGGAGATGAGATAGGGTGATGCCAATATGAGGGCATTATAGGGACACCCATGCGCTACGCGCAGGGTTATGGCCTGAGACATGCTGTCGCATGTTGGCGACCCTTTGCACAAGGGCAGTGCAATGGCCTTATCATTCTGGTAATAGATTTTATTGTAAATAATATAGGATATATTATAGTAATATTATGTTATTTGAGATGGTTCTAGAAATATAGTCTCTAGGATTATTGGCAGCAGTGTGTGTTGGGTTGTAACTGAAATATGCAAATAACAGGAATTTCTGCATATTTGTCCCTAAATGTTTTAATTGGCCAATATGAGGGCATTATAGGGACACCCATGCGCTACGCGCAGGGTTATGGCCTGAGACATGCTGTCGCATGTTGGCGACCCCTTGCTAAATGTGGCGCGGAGGCCTTATCATTCTGGTAATAGATTTATTATAAAATATATGATATTTTATAGTATATAGTAATATATAGTAATATATAGTATAGTATATAGTATATAGTATAGTATATAGTATATAGTATAGTATATGTATTGTATGTTACAAATTATGCAAAGTATATGTTTGAGAGGGTTGTAAGGGTGGCTATAGATGACGCACATCTAAATTCAGTGTGAAGGTAAGGTATTACCATTCTGGTAATAGATTTATTGTTAAATTATATAGAATATATGTATTATTTAGCAATAATACATTTTATCTTTTTGGTTTAATTTTAATTGTAAGGAAATGCATACAACTCCAGTTTTTGCATTTTTAAAATTCAAAAAAACCCATATTGTGCATTTTGGTCTTTAAGGTCTTTAATATAAATACTCTAAGAGTAGTGCGAGAGATAGCGAGGGATGGGGCCATGGCGCCATGGAAGCTCGAAACGAGGCGAATGAAGAGGGGACAATGGATGGAACGAGGAAGAACGAGAAAGAGAGAAAGAGAGAACATCTGAGAAAAGAGAAGGGAACAGAGACAGAGACAGAGACAGTGACAGTGACACGGATATAGCGTTCAGTAGAATAGGAGCAGGGCGCACCTTTCATTTCAAAAGAAATGCCCTCAAGAAACGCAAACTTTTTTTTTGACACCAAACCAAGTTCGATGGTGGATAATGTAGCTGGAAAATCTCATGAATGTGAGAATGACATGCCTGAAGATTGCATTCCTCTTGTGTTCAAAGGAGCTTTCTTTCTCATCGCCTGACTCATTGTTTTCAGCTGCCCATTTCAGGATCTCAAGTTGGGCTCGTGAGATAATGAAAGGGCTACATACTTACTTGCGTATAAACGAGAAGATGACGAGATGAAGCGCCAGTCACTCAGTGATCATGGCAGTCACGCTCCAGGGTTGGAAGGGATATTGACCACTTTCGATTGGAAGAACGAGAAATTTTGAAGAAAAATTGGATAACAAGAGAATGTCTGAGGGAGTGAGTTCGAACCTCCCCTCTGCTGGCATCATCAGCATGGGTATCTGCGAAAGCGTCGGGATTGGCAAATGCCACCTGCCGTTCAAGCCGCCCAGCGTGGGGACGGCAGCTCCGCAGGATCCAGCGGAGCTCCTTGCAAGAGCGAGAGGAGAGGGAAACTTCGGGTCTAGCGGGATGAAGTCCATAAGCAGCGGAAGTTTCCTGCCTGGGCTTCCCAAGATGATCTCGTCGCAGAGAGATGCGAACGCCTCGAGGTCCTCCTCGTTGACCGCAACGAGGGTCCCGGCAAGTGAAGGCGGCAGAAGACTTGCTTGCTCCATGTCATTCGGAGCTCCGGTGTTGAGAACTTCGGTGAAGACGAGAATGATCATCAGGTGCCTCACTGACGTCCTTGTGCACAGGCTGAACTGCCGGAACCCCGGGGTCCCTGCCATCCCCCTCATCGCTATCAACAAAGAAGTTCCACAGGCGCAGCATCAGCCAAGTGAAAAAGAGAGCGCTCCCACCTTGCGCGCTCTCAACCCTGAGAACCCGTCCACCCTTCCTTCCCTGGTACGTTGACCAGCAGCGCGTCAAAGATCGAATCCTTGCTCGATATTTGTCAAGGATGTTCAGAAGCTCCATGCTCACTTGCTTGTAGGGGATCACCATACAGCCTCAGCTGCCCCTCATCGAGCAGCATGCGAAGATGCGCCTGCAGCAGCAGAAGGAGCAGCCAGGGATGCACCTGCCCGTTGCCGGTGAGGAGAGGAGGCGACGGAGAAGGGTCAGCCCTGATGTGCCATTGGTGTAGGGTTCGAGCAGGCAGCGAATGCGAGCATTCGATTCATGGAGGAGGCAAGGGAGAAACAGCCCCTGCATCCCATCTTCTTGGATCGTAGCTCCTCGACCCCGGGCTCGCTTCCTCGGTTTGAGGCCTCCACGTCCAAGGTTGACATGGAACAAGGTGGGAGGGGTTGGCGCGGTCGGTGACATTGCCACGGTGCTGAATGTGTTGTTGCAGAGATTATCAAGAGCACAGAAGAGCTTCGGACTGATGGGCAGACAGTCCTGAATCTTGTTATGAACAGCAATGACAACATCCTCTCTTCGCTCCAGAGCTCCTTGACCAGTGCAAAACAATCTAGCGACCCTACTGCACAGCCTGGGATTACGATGCAGGAAAAATCGACAGTGCCGGAGGCCCCAGCTGCTATCTTGGAAAGCTTTCCACAAGCAGATGCGAGGAGTATCGCAATGAACAGCAACACGAGCTCGAGCGTAAGTTATGAATCAGTGTCGACGTGTGAAAGTTGCTTATCTCATCTCCGCAGACGTTGGTGAATGCAAGGCGCGAGGCAAACGGGCCGAGCAGTATAGAAGTTTTGCTGCAGCCTTCGATGTCATGGAAGGAGATCGTGGAAGAGAAAGACGACAAGTCGAACAAGGCTGATGCTGTCTCGAAGAACAACATGGTGCATCAAAACAGGTGAGATGAACGACTTTTGTTTTTCAGTGAGCGAAGAAATAAGTTGGAATGTGTTGAAGTGGGTATTTGGATGGGGACAGAATGGGAGGGGAGGGGAGGGGGGGATTGTGTTGAACATGATGTGGTTGTTGCAGCATCTGGGACTTACCTGTGCAGCGCTCAAGCGTTGGAGGTGAATGCATTCTCTGATTTGCAACTCACATCTTTACTTTGGATCTTCACGGGATCATCGTCAAGTGCTGACATCAGGGTTTGCAGTGCATGTCGCATGGCAAGACATGAAGGGAGATGAGTTGTTTCGCTATCAGATGGACTACAACAAGAGCGGAGACGAGAGGGTGAACTCTGAGAGATTGGGGCAACTACAACAGGTAAGACGTCGATGATACAGATTTCGATGATACAGATTTCTTTCTGGGTCTGATCGCGTGTCAGTACATTGGAAGTGCACGGCAGAAGCAAGAGAAATGGAAGGCGCGGGTAGCAGGAGGAACTCTCTTCAAGAAGAATCAGGTGCAGGGTGCAGAAGTGACAAGGAGGGGGCGGGGGTAGGGCGATGAGGAAGAGGGGAAGTGGGGGGAAAGTGCAGCGAGGGATAGATCAAAAGGGAGGAGATGTCAAACCACTCTCAACGTCCTGCAGGAGAAGTCATTTATCGAAGAATTGTTCCGATGGCACGACATCGGCATCCTGACCTTGCACACGCTGCCGGAGGGTTCTGCTGCTGCCCTTGGGGACGGCGCAAAGGAGGGGACAGATGGCAACTCGCAAGAGGAAGGGGAGACCGCGAGGAAGAAGGCGTGTCTCGCAGATCTCCGCGATGATCCCTTGCAGAGTTCAGGAGGGGATGGAGCAATGAGGTCCCTCAATGGCAGGGAAGGGGAGGAAAAGAGCGAGCAGGTCAGAGCGAGGAGGCTATCTGCTACTGCACAGAAGAATGTCTGTCCCATTGCAAGCAAGAACCTATGCGCGCACTCTCCCTCCAACATCACTGGCTGGTCCATCATCAGGTACTGCTCGAACCCTCCTGCTCTCTTGACGCCCAGCGAAGCTTCGAGCGATGGGATGTGGAGAGGAAGAAATGGTTCACCAACGGCAACGAAGTCACTTACAAGCAGGTGCAGATTGTGCACATGTCGCTCATCGCCCCTTGCTCGCAATCGTTTCATCTTCATGTTTGCTGCCCTCTTCCTGATGAAACAAGTTCTGTGCTTCTTCCTCGTCGCCCTGATCGTGCTTTAGGGGAGTTTCAACATGTGCTTGCGTCACATGGGATTCCGGCCAACCAAAGGAGCACGATATGGCGGAACGTGAGTGAAGGAGGAGGATTGAGAGGAGGATGCGATGCATTGAGGAGACCGTTCGGTGGGAGGAGGCAATGGAGTGAAGAGGTGGAGAAAGTGGAGGACAACCAGGGGATTGGGGGGGGGAGGGAGATGCCATGATAGGAGTCAGGAGGAGAAGAGGGAGGATTGGTCAGCGGCATGACGAGCATCACAGAGGATACGACTGGGACAACTCCGTGGGCTTCGTGTTCGACCCGGACGTCAAGTCGAAGTATACATCCAAGAGGAGCAGGAACTACAGTCAGAGCAGATGAGGCAAACGAGATCGATCGCCTTCTGCTCCCTCCTCTCACTTCTCTCCCCTCCCCTCCTCCCTCTCCGTGTCCTGCCCTCCTCTTGTCAAGATAGCTTCATGTATGTAGTTAGTCGTGTACCTTACAACAACGTTAGATCGTCGTAGCCTGCCGCCCGTTGAGTCTTCACTGTGAAGTTCTTCCCTGAGCTTAGGGCCTTCATGATCTGCCGTGCAGTAGAAGCCCTCACTCCTGTGCCCGCCATCGCCTCACCTCCGCTCGTTTCAACCTCGCCCATCACCCGCTCGCGTTCCTGCTCTCCTCCTCCTCCTCCTCCTCCTGCGCTCGTCCGTGAGGTTGCCTCCTGGACCCTGCCGACTGTCAACGATGAGATGGGCTGCGACGACGCGGACTCGTCCCCATAGCTTCTCTGATCCCAGGCAGGGTGACCAGTGGAGCTGGTCTCTTGCTGGAGAGCTCCTCCCCTCCAACTTGTCGTGGGGTCGTAGGGACTGAGAGAGGCATCGTGAGTGTCTGAAGGAGCAGGTGCCTTCCTCCTTGATGCTGCCCTGTCTCTTTGCTCCTTCGCACCCTCCAATTCCTCGAAGATCGCATCCTCTGCCATGTGGAACCGTGTCGGAGGGAGGGCTGAATGCTGCCTCCTCCCTTCAGTCTTGACCTTCAATCCTCCATCAAGAGCTCGAGAGACCGCGAAGCCAGAGGGAGGTGTGATCTCAATGGACTGCATGCCGAACGAGAGCGAGGGATCATGCGGCTTCGCCATGTCAGCCTGAGGATACAGGAACTTCTTGGAGGAAGCGACTTCTACATCCTCGGAGGGTCTGAGCAGCGAGACGAGCGTCTCCTGCACCACGAGGACTGTGTTCTTGTTCTGAGGTAAGTCCGTCAGTCTCAAGGAAGGAAGAAAAGAATGAGAGGGGAAGGCACCTCGATGGTGGAGCTGACGACTTGGGAGATCATGGCCTTGGATCTTGACCACGTCTCAACATTGTGGAGATGGACATTCGAATTCATCAAGTTGCCGTAGTACATGCTGTCGTAATCATCGGGAATGAGCTCCTTCACGATGTTCCTCAGCACAGCGAGTGAGTCTTTGCTGCATCTCGCAGCATCTGTGCACAGTCTGATGGCATACTTGACAACGTTCTTGACTTGCTTCTCGTTCCCTTCCAACTGCAACTTGAGCTCAGCAATCCTTTGGTTGTGCTCCGCTTCCATCATTTTCATCCTTGCCATCAGCTCTTGGACAGCATCTCCATCATGATGTAGCTGGTGCTGCTGCTGTCGTTCATGCTTGATGCCGTCGATGACCAGCTCTGCTTCCTTGCGCAAGTTCATCCAATCTCCCATGTTGGCAGCAAGGTCTTGTTGTTTCCAATCGCTACCATTTTTCTCAGCAAGAGTATGTTTCGCCTTTGAATCAGACAAGACCTTGGACTTTAGGATGGAAACTTCTTTCTTCAATGCAGTTTTTTCCTCCTCCGATCGAGCGAGAGCTTCTTGAGACTTCGTTCGTTCGTTCTCAATCAGCAGCAACTTCTTGTTCAACTCGCTGATAGTCCTGTCGCTCTCGAGCTGCTGACGTCTTAAACTCGCGCATGAGCTGCACTGCAAGCCCAAGGCCTGACTGTGACCAGAATGTTGTAAAGTGTCAAGGGATCGCTCTTGACTGATCTGCAGCGTGCTGGTAGACGTGAGAAACTGTATCAGCCAATCATGCGACGTACAGCTCCTCGGTCTCCATCGATATGCCCCATGTGGACTTCCATTCAAGCTGTCTGCCACTATCACATTTGAGTTCGCCGAATCCAGGAGGAATTCATGGGCGTGCCATACACAGCAGTTGAAGTTGGCGTGCACTTTCTGGTGGAATTGTGTGAGAACATTGCAGAGCTCTCCTATTACTTCCCCAGATCTGATGCCCTCGTCCGACATAGCGAACAGAGCAGAGTTAGTTTCATACCTTGTCGTCATGAGATAATTTCTTGTTGCCGCATGAAGCGATGAATTTGAGAAGCGGCACTCCTTTACCCACTGATACAGTAAGGAAAGTTAGAGAAACAAGTAAAGACATGACTCGATGACATTCTTGCTTCTTCGATTGTGACCATCGCTCTGCCTCTCCTCTCCTCCCCTCCCCTCCCTTCCCCTCGCCCAATGTCTCTTGTGATGATGGGCCTCCCAGTCCCGCGTCTGCATTACTTCCGGGTCAAAATTTTGAAGCGGCCCACTAGCTTGTCTATCGAAGTTGTGCAAAATTTTGTCCAAATTTCATTCCTAAGTTTGAAATTGGATCACAAATGTTCAGATTAAAAACAGTTTCCGATTTCGTTATAAAAATTGAACTGATTCGCAGGAGATTTCGAAATTTCAAAACTAAAATTCATTTCCTTAAGTACTGGGAGGACATGGGGCAGTTAGGAATGGCGGGAAGGAGCTCCGCCGACGGCGCGCATGGCCGGTGAAGTCGCATGCTCTAGTGTCTCAGCTGTTGAGGAACGTCTCATACTTCCTGTCGAGGAGAGATCCGATAAGATCTGTCACGTGAGGAGCAAGTGCCTGCAGCAGGAGATCTCAACTTACCTTGTATCGTAATCCAAACAGGGTCGCAGGCGGCTCCCAACGGGCAGAGGTCGTTCAGTCATGGCGTCGGTACTTCTTGCACCAGATGCGATGGGAGCACAGTCTTTGCTGTTGTACTTCGCTCGCAAGAAGATGCACAGGCATATACACGTAGCTTGTAGCCAGCTCCTCAACAAACGTGTGAATGATCCAGTGCTGCTCTTCTGGAGGGCGTACGCGGTCATGATGGAAGGGAGGATTACAGAAGCTGTCAGTGAATTTGAAGCTCTGAGAGGAAATCCTGCTGTGCAGCTCGCAGCGCTGGTGTGCCTGAAAGCCGCGCATGAGAAAACAAAGTTTGTCGACAGGGAAGCTGTGCAGTCTGTGACGAAGGCGATTTTCGATGAGGAGAAGCAGAACAAAGAGGGTTCATTCTTCATGGGAGCTCTTGTGTGCCTGCTAAGAAATGATTTCAAGAAAGCAAGAGATTACATTTCGAAAGTGCTAGAGTTCCAACCAAACTACCCGCAGGCAAAGAGCGTGAATGGCTGGATCGAGCTTCTGTCTGGGACAGAGATCAAGGCGAAGAAATCCATCGAGCTGTTCGAGGCAGCCATGGAAGCAAATCCGAATGATATCGAAGCGGTCCTTGGAAAGGCAGCTTTCTTGGAGAGATACAAGCCGCTGCCCGAGGCAATTGAGTTCATGAATCAATTCATCGTCAAATTCAGCTGGTTTGCTCCTGCGATCACAGAGAAAGCAAGGCTGCTGATTGCTGGAGGGGACTGGGATCAAGCCATCGAGTCTGTGAATAGAGCCTTGAACTTGGACGGAAATAACTTGGACGCTCTCATGATGTCTGCGCTGCACGCCCTGGTGAAGGAAAGCAAATTTTCAGTGGCATCTCAACGAATCGGAGAACTCTTTGAAATCATCAAGGAGTGCGAGCCTTACAACCCTGAGATTATCTGCACGTGTGCCTCTGTCTTCTCCCGCCTGTGTGCAAGAAACACAACAATATTGAATCAATGCATACAAATGATGAAGATGGTAGCGACTGACATCTTCTGTCTTGCATGCCAGTGACTTTGATGGAAGGTTACGGAGATGGAAAGGTCATCTGTCTACATGGCAGAATTGGCATATCAATATTTCTTGATGTCCAACTTCAAAGAGGCATTGCAGAGATATCAGGAGGCGTACAATCTTGATGAACTGAACATGAATGCGGCGTACTGGAAAATTATATGTCAGGTATGTAACCTGTCTGTGGTATCGAGCTTGCATGTAATAGCTGAATGTTCTGTCTCTGCAAATGCAGATCTTTCTTGGAGATATGGAAGAAGCGTCACAGCAATTTGAATTTTTGAATGCCATACATGGCGACTCAGCAACGGGCAAATCGACCGAGTTGTGCTACATCGGTGCGCTCTTAGCGATGAAGTTGGAAAAGAATACAGAATCCTCCATCATGAAACTGGAAGAAACAGTGAGACATTCTCGTAATTTGTGACGAAATTGCTGGATTCCCACGTTTTTGTTTTATAGGCAACATTCCACATGGAACAGTTCAACAAGTCTTCCATCTCATTCGATTATATCATTCGCTTCAATCCAGACTTCTTATTGCAGGCGAGTAGATTAGCAACAAACAGACCCAGTCATGGATTGCATAATGATGACAGCGTTATTGATCTCTTGCGTTCAGATAGCGAGAGACCTGCTCGAGTACGCTGGAAGTGAGTGTCCCCCGGAAGGAGAATCTCCATCTCCTGTCTTGTCAAAAGCGATCAAGATATTGGATGGAGTGTCCAAACTTGCTCCCGGCATGCTAGAAGTACAAATTCTGCTGGCGAAATCGAGATACTTGGCCAGAGACTTCGAGGGTGCGCAATCAGCGCTCACGGATGCCATTCAGGTTAGGATAAGAGGAAGAGGGGGCAGGGGACAGGACAGTGAGATACTGTGTGTTTGACTTCATGCGCTTGAAGATGGATCCTACCCACTATGCTTCGCACATGCTCATGGCACAAATTTACATGGAAATGGGAAGGTTCAATGACGCAAACTCTTCTCTCGAGCTGGTTGCCATAGCTGGTGTTTAGACGGGAGATACTGATCGCCTGCAGGCTCTTTCCCACAATTTCGAGATCCGGGAATCGCCCGTATATTTCCTCCTCAAGAGCATCATTCACGAGAGGGTCTTGTACTGACCTTGGCAAGTAAGCCTCTGATTTGGTATCTCCTCCTAGAGTGGCGAGTGGAGTCAAGCTTTGAAGGTGCTAGAAAGCGCTATGAAGTTGCCTGGAGTCAAGAAGGTGAACGAGCAGGAGGAGAGATATTTTCTGAGAAGAAGGCTGAATCCTTTCTGAAGGCGTCAACTGCAAGAAACGCTCCTTCGCAGGACCAACGGGCATCGATCTTCATTCATCTTGCCAAGGTACAAACAAGACCGATTGCCATTGAGCTTGCATCACCGCACCATTTTCATCAGGTCCAGAATGAACTTGGACAGACACATGAGGCAAGCAAGACGATTCAAGATGCAAAGGGAGAGTTCCATGGCACTCCCTCCCACGCGCAGATCATCCTCCTGGATGCTGAACTAGCGTTGAAGAGAGGAGACGTCCAGTCTGCTCTGATCCTACTCAAGGGTATCAGCTCAGACTCCCCCTACTATGTGAAGGCCAAGGTGAAGATGGAAGACTACCGCTCTCTTTCTCTCTGATATTTCTCGTCATTTTCAGATTGCTGTGGCCAACATTCACCTCAATCATCGTCACAACAAGAAGTTGTATCTCCGCTGCTATGAGGAGCTTGTAGAGCGAAACGAGACCATCGCCACTCTCTGCATGCTAGCAGAGGCATACCTGAGGCTCCAAGAACCAAATATGGCTGTGGAAAAGTTCAAGAGAGCCAAAGAGCTTGAAGATACAACCGGCAAAGGATCAGGAACGAACTTGGCCGCGAAGATCGGACAGGTCTCTTCCGCAAACATGTAAGAGGGAGGAGACAAGATGTAATCCGAGGTTTCAGGCCATGGTCAGCTCGCACGACTTTGATGGAGCTATCCAGTACTTGCAGTCTGCGTCGGAGCAACAGCCCAACGTCCTGGTACATCCTGCCTTGTCAGCTCCTGAATGGTCCAGTGAAACTCTTTCAGAGCCTTCGGCTGTCCCTTGCTGAGTTGTTCATGAAGCTCGGTAAATATGATTCGGCCCTCGATGTTTGCGCAAAGGCAAAGAAATTCCTGCAAGCTGCGGACAATGTGGAAGCGATGATATCATCCACCAAGATCTACTTGTTGGAGGCAAAGGTGAAGTCGCGAGTATGGCATCAAGCGCTCTGATTATTCCGGTCAGGTCCACAAGCTTGCGGGGAAGCAAGAACGTTACAAGGATTCTCTGATGCTTGCTCGAGAAGAGCAGCTCAAGATTCTCGGGCGGATGAGAGGAGAAGCTTCTTCCTTGCTGCGCCACCAGCGCACTCTCGCTGCCAACATCTGCTCGGACTTGGCGAAATACATGGAGAGCATCAAGAACTACACAGAGTCCCTTCGATTCTACGGCGAGGCGCTGAAACATGATGAGAAGCATGCAGATGCCATGTTGTCCCTCGCGCGTCTGCATATGGACAGAGACGAGCTGGACGAGGCGAAGAAGCAATGCTCGGCCTTGCTCAAGTTTGACCTAGAAGTCGAGGCAGCAACCATGATGCTGGCAGACATCATGTTCCGCAGCAACGACTTCGATGATGCCATCAAGTACTTCGCGCAGATCCTCGAGAGAAACCCCAACAACTACAAGGCGCTGGAGCAGCTCATTCTGCTTGTCCGTCGTGCTGGACGGCTGCTGGACACCAAGGTGAAGTGAGGAGGAAGAGATGTTCAAAGTTTGACGCTGCTCTCGGAGCAGAAGAAAGGGAGGATAAGCGAAGCGACACGTTTTCTCAAACTTGCCGAAAGATCATCAGGTGAACGACTTTCAAACCTCTCGCATCGCTTTGTGTCGCGATTTGACTACCTAGTTCTCATGTTTTGCTTCCAGCCCGTGCCTCATTCGACGCTGGATTCCACTACTGCAAGGGTCTCTTCTGCAGATTCTCTAGGAACTTGACGGAGGCGCTAGAGGAACTCAATCAGGTGAGTGGCTGTGGGGATGATGCATGGTGAGACGGTTTGCCAGGCAAGGAAAGATGGAGAATGGGGGGCCAAGGCTATCACCCAAATGATAGAGATTTACTTGGACACGGATGAAGTAGGAGAGGAATTGTTGTAAGTCCTTTCAAGTCCCCGCCGAGCCCTCTTGACAGCACATGTCAGGTCGACCCAGAAGAAGATTGACAACGTGAAGATGGCAAGTGATCTGAGAAAGGCAATCCGCAACATCGCTCATGCATGTGAAAGTCACTCAAGTGCTTGTTACAGGAATTGGGCGACAAAGGAACAGAAAAACCGGTCAAGTTACAACTCTATGCAGCATATGAGCAGCTCTGTCTACAGGTGGATATCGTCCTCTCTCTTCGAAGGTGTTGAACCAACTTTGAACAGACGAAGAGCTCGGTGGAGAATGCAGTGAATTTGTTCACGGACATTCTGAACATAGAGAAGGTAATTTGGAGGCAGTGAGAAAGAGTGAAAACGTTGATGAAGCTTCTACTTCAGGATTCTGTTTCAGCTCTTCTTGGTTTGTCCTTGGCTCTCCGACTCCTCAAGCAGGTCCTGTACTATGCGATCTTCTCCCGCTAGCGATTCTTACATATCGCAGGATGCTAAAGCCAGAAATCACCTGAAGAGAATCTCAAAGATGCAGGTTTTGATGCGAGATTTTTTCGACGAGCAATGACGCACAGCACAGTACAACTCTGAGGAAGCAGAGGAATTCGAGAAGTCGTACTTGCTCCTAGCAGACATCTACATCCAGTCAAACAAGAATGACCTCGCTCAGGTCTGCTCGTCTATCGCCTCTCACCATTGATGCCTTGGCTGCCAGGAATTGTGCCGCAAGTGTCTGACACACAACAAATCCTGTGCAAAGGTTGTGCGTCAAGCACAGGATGACCCTTTGCTGACGTCATTTCAAAGGCGTGGGAGTATCAGGGATTGATCTATGAGAAGGAAGCATCCTATGCCGATGCTGCTCAGGTCTCGATCGCAAGATCTTTCACACTCCCTGCTGACTGTTGGTAGGTGTATGAAATGGCATGGCAATTTGACAATAAGCGCAATGCGTCTGTTGGATACAAACTAGCTTTCAACTTTCTAAAGGTGTGCCGTGTTGTTTGTTTGCGCATTCCCCCCATGCTCAACTCTATTGGGAACAGGCAAAGCGATACATCGATGCAATCAACATCTGCCATGCGGTGTTAAAGCTTCAACCAGGGTAAGACAAGATGACGAACTTTTTCATGTTTACCCTCTTGACCTTCTTTTCAAGATATGAAAAGATCAAGACAGAGATCTTGGAGAAGGCTCGAGGTTCCATCAGATTGTGAGAACTATGAATTGCATTAAATCGTTCTCATGTCCTCAAATCATCTCCGGGGTTACTAGACTTTGTCCACCAAAGGATTGCGAACGCAGCCATTGAGCAATATTCCCCTTTCGCTTCCATCCTGTACAGATTCAGTTCCCCCACCCCCAAGCTTCCCACCACTTTAATGCATGACCCCAGTTTTGCAATACGAAAGTGGATGTTGACACCTAGCTCTGAATTTGTTTTGTCACCCCATTTTTGGTTGTAAAAGATGGGGGTCTATATCAATTATCTTTCAATTTTCCTAATAATGTTTCGAAATATTTTTCAATTTTGAAGAATTTTGACTCTCTACCCCCTCTATGATGACCCCACCCCCCTTTTCCACACCTTTACGTTTTCATACAGAATGCTGTCGGCTACAATGGGAGACGAGGAGGAGGCAGGAAGGAGATGCAGAGAAAGAGACGAAAACGAAAAGAGAGGGCAAGCAGAGAAGAAAGAAGTGCATCAGAGAATGAGAGAGTGAGAATGAGGGTGAGTGAGAGAAAGACGGACGGACGGACGGACGGACGGACGGACGGACGGACGGACGGACGGAAAGGCACACATATCGAATAAATCACATCAGATTAGACGGGAAAATCTGTATGACAAGAGAAGAAGGAAAAGTTGGGACAAGTTTTAGGAAGTTTTAGAAAATAGGTAAAAGAAGGCAAACGAGCCCAGAGGAGTATTCAGGAAACGTGAGATAGAAGGAAAATCAGGTAGGAAACAAGAAGGTGGACATGTATGGACGACTGTCATTGTTTGCAGATTGAAGTGGGAGACACTTGACACATGAGAGACGGTATCTGATTGTCTTGGAATGCAAGAGAGCTGTGCATTACCGCTAAAGAAAATATCGATAGAAGGAAGGCAATAGAGTGGTAGATCAAATCATAAAGTGTATGACGAAGGAAGGAACATAGGTCTGCAGATGAAACCAGAGTTGCTTTGTGTCTGTGATAGCTTGTTGTTCTTCAACGTTTGACTGTATTTACAGGAAATGAGCTCAGACAGGCCAGAAGACAGCAACCACCTGGACGCGTCATTCGATGCGAACGCGTCATTTGAGTCGTGCACCTCGCAGCAGTTACAGATGTACGCATCTGAACATCGAGATGATGACCTCACCGTTGACTCTCCCGCTCGGAGAAGTTCCTTGGAATCTCAAGTCGGACAGAAGCGCAAGAGATCCACAGACGCAGACGACTGCAAAGTGCCAATACTGGTGAAACATCAGGAGCATGCAGCTGAATTGCTGCAAGGCTTGAGTCAATTGTTTCAAGATGAATCACTCTGTGACGTCACGATTCGAGTAGAGGACGAGGATTTCCGGGCGCATAGAGTTATCCTAGCATCCTCGAGCGACTTTTTCAAGATACTCTTAGTTGGAGGATTCAGAGAGAGTAAGGAAGAGGTGATCAAGCTTGAGGGGGTGGATAAACGATCCTTCAAGTGGATCCTCGACTTCATTTATAACGGGCAGCTGGTTCTTCATGGAACGGAAGAACTTGTAAATTTGTTAGTAGCCAGTGAACACCTCGGGTTCAGCTCAGTCAGAAGTATCTGTGTGCAGCGGCTGCAGCAGCGTCTCGATCTTCCCAATGCTCTCAAATTGCGCTTATTTGGACAAGAAGTTGGCTGTCAGGAACTCATTGAAGCAGCTTCAGAGGTTCTGTGTCGTTCTTCGGCTCTCGCCAGGGACTGAGGATGTTGGTTGGCAGGTTGTATTCAATCAATTCACTCAAATTGCATCAGAAAGTGAAGACTTTCTACAGCTTGATCTAAGGTATCAAAGTATTCTCCAACCCGACCTGGTATCTGATAGATTCACCCTCAGTCAACTCTGTGATATTCTGGCGAGTGATAAGTGAGGATACAAGATTTTCTTTTTTGTTTTTCTTAATGACGTTTCTGGCAGCCTTGCGGTGGATTCAGAATATGATGTCTTTGAGGTAAAGGCAAATTCCTTTCTTATCTACAGTGAGGATGTTATTTAGTCAATACTACGATGGGTTGGATATTATGCTGAAGAACGCGAGCCATTGCTTGGTCAATTGCTCTGCAACCTGCGGATCGGTCTGCTGAGTGAGGTAAGTTCGACAGGAGGTGTTTCGTGTGATGAATTCATTCGTTCAGGAAAACATCAACAGCATCTTGGAAGAGCCGATGGTCAAAAAACGAATCAGTGGAACTTCAGCTTGGTGAATGACCTCAGTGAAATGACGGCACGACTGACATATCGAATGATCAGCCCTGAAATTCAACATCTTTTCTCTTCGGTCCCTAAAGCGAAGAGAATGAAATTGGATCCTGACAATCAGAAATTGCTGGCTCGCCTCAAGAATCCAAAAGATCAAATTCAACAAGACTCTGTAGTTTCAAAGTGTATTTGGAACTTAAAAGTTGTCTGACCTTGTCTAACAGAAACTGGACACAAAACAGTGCAAGAATCGTAAACAACGAATCACCAAATGTTTACTTGCTTTGGGTGGTCGGCCGGCGTGGACTAAAGTAGAAAGGCTCGACTCCAAGACTAGTTCATGGGATGAGGTGAATAATTTCCCGATCTCTGTGTTTCCTCACTCCAGTGTCGACAAACTTAATTGCTGATTCACACTAGATTGCTCCTATGATACAAAAGAGGATGCGGCATGGTTCTTCAAGCGTCAAGGGAATGGTGTACGTTGTCGGAGGAAAGGATGAGACAGGCAGAGCGCTGGCTAGCATCGAGCGATACAACGCTTATCAGGTCGAAATCTTACGAAGTTATTGATTCTCTTACAACAGCTGCTTGATGCAGAACTCTTGGAAGTTGCTCTCACCCATGAAAACTGCAAGGACTGGCCTGGGTGTTGCTGCTGTCGCTGGAGTCATTTATGCCGTTGGTGGGCGAAACGATTCGGGCTACAGGTATTTAATCTGGCTGATTCTTTTTGAGCAGCATGTCTGAAAACAATGGATGCAGACTCAACAGTGTGGAATGCTACAATGTTCAAACAGACAATTGGTCTGTATGCGCTTCCATGCGCGAGGCGAGAGGAGCCGTGCGGCTCGGTGCCTTGAACAACATTCTCTATGCAGTGTGTCTTGCTGTGTGTCCGCATTGCGTTTCTCACGTGAAGAAAGGTTGGAGGAAGGTCGGAGAAAGATGCCGCAATGGCGAGCGTTGAAGCATACGATCCAGTCACAGACACCTGTGAGTCTACGAACTTGTGGGTATGTTTCGTGCTGACGTCAGCACTTTGTTGCCGCAAGGGTGCAACGTCGCCCCGATGAGAACATGTCGAGTTGGAGCAGGTTTGTGATCGGTTGAATCACTTCGTGTCCTCACGTTCGCACAAGCCGTCGAAGTCTTGGAAGGATATTTGTATGCCATCGGGGGAAAGGATGACTTTGGGAACAAGCTTCGAAGCGTCGAACGCTATGATCCAACGTGAATCTTCCGCACTCGATAGCGCACTTCTGATGCATGCATGCAGCACCAATAGCTGGACCCCAGTGGCAAATATGGGAACGAAGAGATGGGGAGCGGGTGTCGCCGTGATGGACAAGAAACTCTACGTTTTGGGTGGCATGAACGGTGCCGAGAGAGGCTTGCTACCGACTGTGGAAGTGTACGATCCAGGTGGATGCGTCGCTCAACCTATTTGTCCAGCATTGACACATACTGCAGTGAAGAATAGCTGGTCGGAACTCAAGGAGGGTCCAAAGCTAGCCAGGGGGTCTTGCACATTCGCTGCTTTGTAGTATAGCATGTCGCTGCTTCATCTTATCTTATAATAAAACAAATCACATTTGAAAATTCAGAACGTGTGAGTGGCTTGAAAGTATGCTAATTTTCAGTTGAACATGGCTGCAAACAACACCCGTCATTGACCAATTTGCATTCATAGGGTAGAAAACAACTACCTTTGAACTCTTCGTAGTCAATCTCTCCAGATCCATCTGCATCTGTTTCGTCAATGAGCCTATCTATGTCGACTGTCAGCTCAAAAGCTTTAATGGTCCGCCTCAGCTTTTCAGCTTCAACATGCCCTTTAGAAGAATACATCAGTCGAATTGAAAACTGCAAAACTTCCTGTCACCTGTTTTATCAGCATTCCCACCCATGGCTACAAAGGCATCTATCAAATCACTTTCATCATTCTGAGCAGTTGCAGCCTCTTTTTGTGCTTCGATGACTTTCAGGAATTCAGGGAATTCAATGCTTCCTGCGAACAACCAATATCAGAGAGGTTTTCCATCCGGAAGCTGTTCGTCCCGCTCACCACTGCCATCATCATCTACTTGGCTGAGCATCTGAAAGACTTCCTCGTCCGTGGGGTTTTGACCCATGGCTTTAAGCGTTTCTTTCAATTCCCAGGCATCAATGGTACCACTGATTCCCACGTGTCACTTTCGCTGCAAACATCGCACCAAGGACAAGGCAAGCCTCCCACCTTCCGTCCTTGTCAAAACGCTCAAACGCCTCCCTGCACTGTTTGTTGTTCAGAAAAGAGTCGAAGAGTTCAAGTTATACCTTATCGATCTCCTCCTGCGTCAACATGCTCCACACCCGTACCCCGTTTTGAAACACCTAGACTGCAAAGCCTGTCTTACCAACATTCTCATTTTGGTATTCGCAAGGCAGCCTATATTCATCTAGTTTGAACATTCTAATACTTCTCATCGTCAGTACATGAAAAAATCCTGTCATCCATTTCCTCGTTATCCAAACCCGCTCTGCCTCCTACCTCCAAGACCTAAATACCCAGCAGAATAAATGCCACGGCTAGGCTTTAATTCGGCTATGCCACTAGTTTCATCACATGTTGCTCAAGAGTAGATAGTTTCTGTATCTTTCATCCGTGATGCATCATCAAACTCCTCATCACTTGCCGCTAAGTGACCTCTTGAAAATTCGACATCCTGCATGGATTTTCTGCGTTGCTACCGTTTTATCGCTCTCGTTTAGTGCGTTGTCAACCTCCCGACAGCAGTCCTCACTCGCATGAAATCAATCGAAATGCTTCGATGGCGGTTTCTCCTTCCTACCAACTTATGTAAATTCTCAACCTCGCATCCCTTCGCTGCACCCTCGCTCGTTCAGCCATTTCCCTCCCTTCCCTCCCATGTTCCGCATAATGGCCGTTGCCTCTCAACTTCTTCAGTTTCGTTGAAACCCCATTTCAAAGTACCGCAAATCATTACTTAAGTTTACCGTCCGCACTGACGGTGTTGAAAACTAACATGAAGCAATACTATTACCAATATTAGTCACTTAAAACTTTAAAACATTGAAAAGGCGTAGTACAGATATAATATCTTCGTACAATAGGTAATATTAAAAATGCAACTTCATAAAATGATTGAGTACCGGGAACTCGGAATGCTATTGGTCAACTGGAATCAACTAAAAGTTCGAGTAGTGACTACAATTAAGAGTTGTACCATGTTGCTTTTTTTGTTGTAGTTTTCAGTTTGTTTGATTGCCTTATCCGAACTTGAACTCTGGCCACGTTTGACCACCCGGTGACCAGGCCCTGACCGACGGTACTCTCAAGGTACGGTCAAGTTGCCCGGCCACTTACTTGGTCCGCCCGGCAAGCCCGGCCCGGGCTAGCCAACTTTGCCCGACGCCTACTCAGTACGCTAGTCACACCGCACCCAACCACTGATCCGGCCGCGGAGATCATGCCATGATGCTGAGTCAGACAGTCGGACACGGTGGGGCCGGGAGTCAAGCCCCGGGAAAAGCCAGCGGGGCGGCCCTATCGCTTGCACCTGGCCGTGAGTAGGCCCGCCCGCTGCCGGGTCGGCCCGGCGGCATGAGGGATGATGACAACGGAAGATAGGGGCAGGCGCAAGACAGTTTAGTTAATTTTAAGTACATTTTGCAGTACTAGTCCGTTTATTAACTTAAACTTTTTAACTTCCTTGGAAGTTGATAGATAAGTGGGCGCGCAATGCAAGGGGGTATGCGAGATATTGGGCGGGACCAGCGGCAGAGAGGGCGGGGGCGAGGAATCAACGAACATCGAAGGATTATATGGTGAGCGAACATGCTGCTTGCTCTATCCTTGCGGTTTTGTTCTGTGCTGTCCCGGTGCTAGTAAGGTTCGGAACCGAAAAATCAGTTTCCTCAGTGTGGTTGAACACTCTGTTTCTCACAGCTGCTGAGATACAAACGTACTAATCCCATCCAACGCAGGAATCCTCTCAGACTGAGAATCTCCTTCGCCATCTTGCTGCTTCTCGGAATCTTCAACCTCAACCAGGTAAAATCTTTCCAATCCTTTCACAACAACTTTGATTTTTGAAAATACTCTTTCTTAGGCCAGCAATGTGACAGAAGACAAATGGTATCCAACAACTAACACAACCATTACCATTCAATTCAACATTACATTCAACACATCCAACGCCATCCAACAGTCCATCTGCGCAAGAAATCAATATGCAACTGGCTGTGATTTGATCTGCGACATGCTCAAGAACTGCAGCGGGAACGGGCGGTGCAACGGGCTGACGGGGGAGTGCGACTGCTACGAGGGGTATAGCGGGACGAGCTGCTCAGAGGGGACGGGCGGGGGCGGCGGAGGAGGAGGAGTGTGCGGGAGGAACTCGTACGGAGCGAGCTGCACGGAGGAGTGCGACATGCTCAAGAACTGCAGCGGGAACGGGCGGTGCAACGGGCTGACGGGGGAGTGCGACTGCTACGAGGGGTATAGCGGGACGAGCTGCTCAGAGGGGACGGGCGGGGGCGGCGGAGGAGGAGGAGGAGGAGGAGGAGTGTGCGGGAGGAACTCGTACGGAGCGAGCTGCACGGAGGAGTGCGACATGCTCAAGAACTGCAGCGGGAACGGGCGGTGCAACGGGCAGACGGGGGAGTGCGACTGCTACGAGGGGTATAGCGGGACGAGCTGCTCAGAGGGGACGGGCGGGGCGGGGGAGGCGGAGGAGGAGGAGTGTGCGGGAGGAACTCGTACGGAGCGAGCTGCACGGAGGAGTGCGACATGCTCAAGAACTGCAGCGGGAACGGGCGGTGCAACGGGCTGACGGGGGAGTGCGACTGCTACGAGGGGTATAGCGGGACGAGCTGCTCAGAGAGGACGGGCGGGGGCGGAGGAGGAGGAGGAGGAGGAGGAGTGTGCGGGAGGAACTCGTACGGAGCGAGCTGCACGGAGGAGTGCGACATGCTCAAGAACTGCAGCGGGAACGGGCGGTGCAACGGGCAGACGGGGGAGTGCGACTGCTACGAGGGGTATAGCGGGACGAGCTGCTCAGAGGGGACGGGCGGGGGCGGCGGAGGAGGAGGAGGAGTGTGCGGGAGGAACTCGTACGGAGCGAGCTGCACGGAGGAGTGCGACATGCTCAAGAACTGCAGCGGGAACGGGCGGTGCAACGGGCTGACGGGGGAGTGCGACTGCTACGAGGGGTATAGCGGGACGAGCTGCTCAGAGGGGACGGGCGGGGGCGGCGGAGGAGGAGGAGTGTGCGGGAGGAACTCGTACGGAGCGAGCTGCACGGAGGAGTGCGACATGCTCAAGAACTGCAGCGGGAACGGGCGGTGCAACGGGCTGACGGGGGAGTGCGACTGCTACGAGGGGTATAGCGGGACGAGCTGCTCAGAGGGGACGGGCGGGGGCGGCGGAGGAGGAGGAGTGTGCGGGAGGAACTCGTACGGAGCGAGCTGCACGGAGGAGTGCGACATGCTCAAGAACTGCAGCGGGAACGGGCGGTGCAAC